GTTTTGTGCCACTTCAATGCTCAGGTTGTACCCAGATGAGGAAATGCAGATTCAGGTTCATAATTCAATTAATTTCCAGAGCTGAATCCAGGACTTGAGTCCAGATTGTACTTTATTGAATAAAGTGGGAAACAGGCCCTACAATGCCACAACATTCATGTGTGTCTGTCCTGGTTTCAGCTGGGACAGATTTAACTTTCTTCATAGTAGCTAGTGAGAGGCTGTGTTTTGGATTTGTGCTGAGGAGAAGGCTGATAGCATCCTGATGTTTACAATTGCTGCCAGGTCAGTGAAGGACTTTCCAGCTTCTCTGCTGTGCCAGTGTCTGCAGGTGCAAGAGAAGCTGGGAGGGAGCACAGCCCCAGTTACTAGCCTAGGATTCAGCCCTAGGTTTAGGACTGAGACCCAAATTGGTCAATAGTATATTCCATATCATGCATGTCATGTCCTGTATACTATGAGGGGCTCTCTCTTTCTTGGACTCTCGGGCTCTCAACTTTTTTGTTAAGAGCTCTTAACTGTGGCTGAGAGAGGTTTATTCCTCTCCATAGTTTACATTATATTTTTGTTTATATATTTGCTTATATATGTTTTATATTTATGTTATAATTTGAAAAATCAGAATTAATTTATAGATCAGTGAGCCATAGGATTTAGCTGGTCTTCCTGAGCTTTTTCAACTAACCTTACATTAACATCAATAGAGTATTATCATGGAAAGACTATCATTTTGCTCCTGCAAAAACACACTCTAAACTAAAATGTTGACTTACTCCAGATGTGCCACTAAGAAAGCTAACCATAAGCACATGCACAAATATTTTCAGTATTAGGATTTAGGAGTGAATAATTTTTAAAAGTTAACCTCTGAGAAAATACATTAATATACGAAGATTATTTACAATCTGAAAGCTTATTAAAGAAATGCAATACACTGAATTGATCTGCTCTGCAATGTCACCTTTATACAATGCTATAAATCCACTGTTACATTGTACAAATATTGTTTTTTAAAAAAATACTACTCTTAATCAAATTGCACATAGCTGAGAAACAAAACCAAGAATGTAAAGTTAGTTCAGATCTCTGCATTTATAGCATAAGAATCTTTGGTCCCCTGTGGTTTACCTTCAGAGCACTAACACACTTCGTAGGCAAAAATATTTTAAGGATTAAAGAAATAATGACCCTTGTTATACAGTGTTCTTTTTATTTTTTACAGGATTACATTAAAAAAAATACAAACTGTATTATAAAACATTTATTTAAAAGGGATCCCGCTAATTATCTTTAATTTTCAGACAGTTGAAAGTACATATAAGCATATGTAAAAATCAAGTTTTCCCCTAAACTTTTGAAGAAAAAGTGTATTTTGCTGTAAATATCTTCACTTTGTGGAGGTATGGATTTCTTTGCCCTAGAAAATACAGACATGAAATATACATTATTAATATGAACACATCTTGCAGGGACATTTCTCAGAATAAAATCCTAGTAGACGGGTTGTTTCGGGTTACTGTATTCCAAAGACTAAATTCTTCAACACTGCACCATCAACACATTGCAGGAACCTCCTGGCTTGCTTATGCCCTGCTGTGTTGTCCCTCCAACAGATATCAGGGTGGCTGAAGTCCCCCATGAGGACCAGGGCTTGTGAACATGAGGCTGCTCCTATTTGTCTATAGAGAGCCTCATCCACTTGGTCTTCCCAGTCAGGTAGCCTGTAGCAGACCCTCACTATAATGTCACCTGTCCCTGCCCTCCCTTTAAGCCTGACCCATTGGTCAGCTCCTCATCCAACCCCAGGCAGAGCTCCATGCACTCCAGCTGGTCACTGGGATAGAGGGCAACGCCCCCTCCTTGTCTCCCCTGCCTGGCCTTCCTAAAGAGCCTGTATCCTTCTGTTCCAACACTCCAGGCATAGGAACCATCCCATCACATCTCTGTGATGCCAATAAGATCATAGCCCTGCAGGCGTGCACGTCTCTAACCCCTCTTGTTCATTCCTCACGCTATGTGCGTTTGCATAGATGCACTTAAGCTGGGCCCTCAGTGAGGCTGACTTACTGGCTGGAAATCGCTTGTGCTGCTCTTCAGGTGCTCTCCTGCTGACCTGTGATCCTTCCCCAGGCTCTGGGGAAGGCACTGGCATCAAACTGGTAGGAGTAGGGCAGACTGAGGTTCCCCTCCCCCAGCAACTTTAGTTTAAAGCCCTCTTCACCAGCGTGGCAAGCCTATGACCAAAGACGCTCTTCCCCTTCT